TAGATTACTAGCTTGTATTTCCTTACCCTTCAATCTTGTTTCTTCGTCCAAATATGTAGCGGGCCCCTTTGTTCCACATTCAGAGATTCCATAAACCTGAAATCTGTATCTGGTTCCTGGTACCAGATTCTCCACAGTATATACTGTTGTCACTTTCACATCTACGATGCCTTCATCTGTGAAACTTTTATTGTAAGACTTAGTCCCAGTGTACTTCACCTTTGCAATCAAACAAAACCAGTTTGAACAGTTTTAAAACACGAAAATTTCGAATCGCAACAGTTACACAATGTAACGTGACAACCATTATTTCCACAAATTATGTATTCAATTAAAAAAAAATCGAGAAGACAAAAATAGTACAAAAATCGAACAGTTTTCAATAAAGCTACGATATCTTCATGTGTGCACATTAAAGAAGATAACTTACCTTTTTCTTGTTTGTACGGTTCTTATTGTTCTTTTTCCATGTGTTTTGTGTTTTAAGATTTGTTTGATTGTTGTATTTGCCTCCGTTTTTTTTTTTAAGTAAAATGCGATTTAACTTACCCTGTATTTGACCTCTTCCCCCACATCGAGCTGGGGTCTTTCCCATGCTAGGGTTATCTCTGTGGTGTCAAGGTTTCGTGCTCTTATGTTATTGGGTGCTTCGGTTCCTTTAGCAAAGTGGTAATTAAAAGAATGACGTTTGAAAGAATGAAAACAAGGTTAAGACTATCTTTATTACTTATGTGCCTACATGTATAGGAAATATCTTATATAACACCTAATACAAAAAATATGCTGATTGTTTGATGCCATTCTTCCTTCAAATTTTTTACCGTTATTTTTTTCTTCTTCTATTCAATGTCAGCAACAGACGTCGGTTGTAAAACCTTGGTAGCTAAAGTAACAAGTTATCGCTAGGGAAGTAAAAGGAGGTAAAGCTAAGATATAGCCAGTCATGCATCATTGTTTGGAGAAACACTTGCCAATCTTAACTGCAAAATATCGTCGTCGTGTTTCATTAGAGGATCAATGATTTCATTAAATCCATCAGGAGAAGTTCAACTTGGCCTGCACCTTGGCGATGTGATACAACTTGCACCTAAATAACGCATAATAATACCCTAATGCATCTCAAAGAGCTCATCACAAGCTATCTAAATGGATTTGACGCTACAAGGAAGGGGAATCGATTCCATCCATTTCTTTCGCACGCTCTTATTTGTTAAAAAAATGAAACTTACTCAATTCCAGAGGTAAGGGTTGACTATATGGTCCAGGGCCAGCTTTAGTGTAAGCTCGAACTGATACATTGTTACAAGGCTGAATATCATACAGGATAACAAATGTTATTGTTGTGTTAACAGTCTTGCTGTTTGCTGGAGACCTTTTCAGTCGATTTTTAGAAGACACCAATGATGCCTTGACCTCATATGAGATAACTTTGCTATAACTCTCTCTTCTTGCCAGAGGTGACCATGAAATATTGAAGGTTGCTTGGTTCAGTCTACTGAAAGACACATCATTTGGTGCTACACTGGGTTCTGACAAAAGGGAATCAAAAAATATACCAATTCAGATAAATGGTCAGCTGTCAGTCATTGGACAAAAAGTGTAACAAATAATATTTCTAGATCATATTTCATCAAAACTTTATCCTCAAAGTTTATCTAAATTATATTTCAGTAATTCTTCCCTCCTTTCTCCTTCATCACATTTTTATTTTTTTTAGGTATGTAGTCATTCATGTTGAATACAATCATGTTCACCAGTCCTTCAAAAATACATGTATATTGGATAGAACTTGGAGTTGATAAGGAGAGTCCTTCCTGTACCACCCCTGTAATGCAGCCGTTCTCTACTTGTCCACCTTGATATCGCTTACTGTCTACACTTATCAAATAACATTAAAGTTGAAAGTGAATTTAACAGGCCATTTTCAATGTAATAAAATTAAAACTTGGCACCGAGGGTTAGGGGGAATAAAATAAAGGAAATCACATGGAGGTTGAGGGATGAATAATTAGTTTCTTTAGTTTTATTCCCCTTAGCAACGAAGCTATGTTAGAATTTTAGTATAAAATTATCAGAACTGGCCTCTTGACCATAATCTTTTTTAATTTACACCTACCATAATCATTAATAGCAACAGACAAGGTTGCATTTGGTCCAGGTTTGATCGTTGCAGCTCTGACGTGGAACTGATAGGTGGCCCCACCTAACACATCTACTGTGTAACTTAACATGTTTCCTCCCAAGGTTTCAGTGTTAATATTATAAGGATCTTCATCGTGACTATAAAACACTGTGTAACTCCTGATAATTCCATTTTCTTCTGCTGGCTTATCCCAGGTGAGCTTTATCTTTCGACCAACTTGTTTATCTGGTATTATCTCAGAATGTGAAAGGTTTGAAGGAATACTTGGTGCTAAAAAGTAAAAGAATAGAAGATGAAAGTTAGTATTTAAACTATAATGGAATAAACTTGACCTTTGGCAGAAAAAATGTACTAATTGGATGATGTGCTTTACATGTTCACTTACATTGCAGAAGCCATCTGAACACTTGCAATGCATTCCCTGCTATAAATAATACTTTGTTCTCAATGTTACTACTGTCTTAACTCTATCAATATCATACAGAATATTAAACTGAATACAGTAAAACTCAGGCAATCTATATGTACAAGGTGTACACGTATGTTCCAATCTCATTCAAATCAGCAAGACTTTTTGAAAAAATGTTTTTCCTAACAACCTACACTGTTCAGTTTTAGCCTCTTACCATCTTCCAATGTCTGCCCAACCATTACAGAACTTTTTGGTCCCTCACCATGAGATCCAACAGCCAACACTTGAAATTCATATCTGGTATACTTGTTAAGATTAGTGAGAATTTCAGTTAATGTTGCTGCTCCACTAACAGACTCCATGACTGAATTGTCCACTAAGCCCTTCTGTCTGTAAAACAACTTATATCCTGTGATTGTTCCATGTCTGGCATATTCTGGAAGTGATGTCCAGGATGCTCTTATACTAGTAGATGAGGTTGCAGTCACAGTGAAGTTACCTGGAGCTTGTGATGGAACTGGATTGTTGAATAAAAATGATTATTAGGTATTTTAATTATACAGCTTCACAACGGTCATGTGCTTACAAAGGGAACTGAATTGGTCAACACAGATGAAAGTTGTTAATAATGATGAAGTGTTATTTTTTTACTAACTCAGTTTTTGAGTCCTCCCTAAAACTTTGCAAGCTCTTTCAAGTCTGACATCAAGTGAACCTCAGTGACTTCATTCGTCCTCAATGGATTAAATGAGTAAAGGGGCAAGTTTCTAAAGAAACTGTGGTGCTGCGTCGTCCTCAATGGATTAAAAAACGTTTGAGCGTTAGCCCTTCGTCAGAGCGATCGACATTTCGAAACGGTAGTGACGTTTTCAACCCAGTTGTTAACACTAAATTACCTGGATTAAATGAGTGCCATTTAGGGAGTGACTAAGTGGTAATTCTGATTTCTGTAGGGGATAACTTATAAATATGATCATAGACAAAGAACATATACATACCACTATATCACTCAAATATATACCAGTTATGCAATGCTGAGTGGTATACCATGAAATATCGCACAAGTCACTCATAGTCTGTCATTACCCAAACATTAATGTTGAGGGCAGAATTTGGCACTGACATGGCTCAAACAGCACTTGAAATATACTAGAAGTGACATTGCATGCTCGATTTTGGCACGAAGAAGATCACAGCATGCAATAAGAGGAGTAGGCACAATACTATCAAATATACAATGAATTCCTGAATTCTGATTGGCTATATTTTCTGCTGCATGGAATCTGTATAAGTAATGCTGAGTAGTATACCACTGAATATCCCACAAGTCACTAGTATTCAATGTCATTACCTGAACATGAGTGGGTGCAATACCATCAAATACACAAGGAATTCCTGAATTCTGACTGGCTATATTTTCTACAGCATGGTATCAGTATAGGCTATGAGATTTTATGTAACATTTTAAGTAAGGTGAGTCATAATACTCCCTTCCACTTTTTTGCAACACTTGTAGGATTTCAATGATAATTTATGGTACAGAGATAATAGAATTGGTACCTGTAGATAAAAGAACTCCATAAACTTCCACTCTCAATGTCTTATGACCATGATAATCTGTTGGCACAAAACGGATGAACCTTGCCAAAGTATATTCCCTCAGACCATGTTTTACTATGTCATATCTCCCAGAGTTTCCATTAAAGACCTAAAATATTAACATGTTTATTCACTTCAAAAGAAAATTTCAACTTTCCGTGCACACGTGACAGCAGTTTTCCTTGGCTTTGAATTATCAATAAGCCTACAACCAACCAATAAAAATGTAGCAAACACCATCACTATAAAAAGTGATGAAAGAGGATAATCTACAGCTCTAATTCTAACAAAAATAGTTTCAAATCATTTGATCAAGCAAAATGAGTCACTTCAAATCAGAGCTGCAAGCCACACCAACATTCCATGTTAGTGGGTTATCATACGCTGGACTACATTATGCTTTAAGAAATAAGCATTTCAAAACCTGAAAGACATGACCTATTAAGCTCATGTCAATTTTTCACTCATTTCCACCTATACTTAACCTGGTCATAAAACTGATTCAAATTTACACATACCAAAATGCTCTGCCATAACTGTCTATAATTCTTCTGCCTATAAAATTAGGCTTGACAGAGTGTATTTTTGCAGGGGGTAAGTTTCTAAAGAAACTGTAGTACTGCGTCCGTGGGAGAGTATAGCAGGTAATTTAGTGTTAACAACTAAGTTGAAAACATAAAATTGCCTTTTAACCCTCTATGGTGGCCAATTTATGTTTTAAACCCAGTTACTAACACTAAATTACCTGTTAAGTATATTTTTATGAAACTGCATGAACAAAATATCAAAAAATGAGAAAAAAATTCAAGCAAGTTTAGCATGATGTTTCATTAATATCAAACTGACCTTCTCAGTGTTGTTTTCTTTATATGTGTTAAAGGTGACACCCAATGATAATTTAATCTTGTACTTTGTTGTCCACTGATCATTATTGAAAGATCCTTGAGTGGCTACAGCACAGATAGCATAATCATACTGCAGGTCAATTTGTAGGTAGTCAGTGTGATTAGTATTAGTTTCTGGTGCCCAACCCCGATTATTTCCATTCAGACGACCAGCTGAAGGTCCACGTTCATTATAAGCTTTTGATGAGGCTGAGAAGCTGCCATCTGGAATTGCATCACTGCTGGTCACACCAATTGCCTGACTATGACATGCTGTAAAAAGACAATCATAATTACCATAAACTATGGCTTCAACCCAGAGAATCAGTACTGGTATATCATACATGTACAGTAACAATCACAAGAGTGCTGCACCATGTAAACACACCTCAAGTGATTTTACTAGTGATTTGAGGTAGTTTGTGTAAAGAACTGTAAGTTCTTCTTCAGTGAAAACTCAAGGCTAAAAAAATTTAAAAAATTAATTAACTTTGTCACCTTTTGGCCTCTAATTGAAGAAAAAAAGCCATCAGGAATTTCTAGTTGCCAAAATAACACACTATATAACAGGATTCTTACAAATTGCCAGTTCATGAACATAGATCACTCTTAACTACTGAAATATTTATATCATGTGGTCTTCTTACACCATCAACTAACTACACAACCACTCCATTATTCTTTACTATTGATTTACAGGTTAATAATAAAAGTTTCACCAAGGGCCACATTTTTAATTTGTAGCATTTATGTTTAAATAGGTCACAACATACATTTATACATGTACATGTATATATATATCAACTTTTAAACCAAACTATCATACTTATCTGCTACACGCAACCAGTTTACATTTATTTAACAATGTTGAAGTAATTACATGTCTACATACAGAAATTAAATGGCAAATTTTCCTGAGAATGTAGATTGGAACCTCAACTCAGTAAGGTAGCAGTTAATAATAGTTCTTCAAAATATCCAGATATGCCATACCTCTTTGTTCTGAATACACTTCAACTTCACAAAGATTGAATCCCGATTTACCTCCCCTAACATCCCTGATGGTGACATATCTTCCTTTCAAACTAGGATGGCAGAAGAATGACAAACCTACTCCTTTAGGAAGGTTATGAGTAGCTGCCCGACCACATTTGGGACTAGTCATACTAGTATCAGTAATACTTGATACTGTGCCTGAAAGAATACCGTAATAATAAATCACTGTTAAAAAGTACAAACAACTTAAAAGAGATGACTGCAAAATAAGACATATACTGATCAAATAGAGATATCCACTTTCAAAACAAGCAAGATTTACCTCCCTGGTGAGCCTTTGCCTTAATAAAAGCTGCCCTTTTTCTAGTGCGTAGGCTAGACTGACTCAAAAGTTATGCATAGCAAGGGCATGATGCTCAGTAATACAAGCCAATTACCAGAAACAGATACTGCTATTAGTATTATTATTTTTAATAAGCTAGTCCCTGCCAATACTTGTGATTGTCTGGCAGTTATTTTACACATCATCAAGACGGAGCTCCCAATAAAATTTCAATGTAGCCCCTTAACTATCAAAACTGCTCCTGTCCTTCAAATTATGAAGATTCTTCCCATCTGTCATTTGGCAGCAGCCATTTCAATGTCACTGAGTTTAATTAGGGAAACTGTCTACAGACCACAACACTCAGTGAAGAAAATATATCAAGTGATGGGAAAACATGACTAATTTGCATGGAGGAAAACTTTCATAAGCTATACTTCATCCAAACACTGGTAAATGTATAAGTGATTTCAATCAAAAGGATAAAAATGGACTATAAAGTATAACATTAAATTAAAAAATAGGACATGTTTACATCTGTGCCATTTCTCAGACTCATGTTACACATTTATTGTTAAACCATGTGGAACAATAAAAAAACTAATGATTTTAGCCAATGAACATAATCATGCATCCAACTTGAAAAGAGAGTAAAAAGAGCACAGCCAGCCAACCTGCTCAGTAAAATGGCAATGTTTTCCAGTTGCCTGAAGCTAACACTCAGTTCCTTTTGGTAAAGAGGAACCAGCAGAGCACAACCATGTAAGGGTATCTATGTGTACAACTGCCAAATCAAAAAACCAACATCTAAACCTAACAGCAATTATATGATGCATGTTCAAACAGAAATAGCTGTGGCTGAGGGTTGACAAGAATGTGGAAACCACAGCAGCATTGACAAAAACCAGGACCAGATCAGATTGGATTATGGATCAGAAAAAAAAGTTTTGAAAAATTAATAATAAACAAAATATAAGATTAAATGAATAAGGGGCTAAGTCTCTGAAGAAACCGTGGTGCTGTGTCAGTGGGAGAATATGACTAAGTAAATTGGTATTATCAACTGAGTTGATAATACAAATAAATTGGCCCCCGTTTAGATTTTAAAAGATGACATTTTGAGTGTTAGCCCTTTGTCAGAGTGAATGACAAAGGAATGTTTCCCTCTGACAAAGGGCTAACACTTGAAACATCAGCTTCTGAAATGTTAACAGAGGCCAATTTACATTATCAACTCATTAATAATACCAAATTACCTCAAAGTAAAAGTCTGAGTGACATTATGGAGCGTATGTAGGCCCCACTGGAAGCCTTTTTGCCCCAAAACTCTGTGTAGTCACTTTCACAGCTTTGTCAAGGAGTTTTGTGTAGTGCCATCATGGACAATAAGGCAAGTAAGAGGTACGAATCACTTCATCAGTCAGTTATTACCGTATTTATATGTGTATGAGTCTACTCTCCATTTGCATGGGCAAAAGTCAGATTTTTCATCATTTCTACTCAAAGAAGTAACATTCAAACAGATAGAAATTTCTCAATCTATTATTTCTGAGAATGTATTGAAAACACAGGGAATTAAAAAAACTGCAGAGCAAAATGAAATCATATGCTGCAAAGTTTATTAGCACTTGTTTATATCACCATGACCAAAGCATAAATGAGCACTTTGATTTCCTGGAGAAGTATTTTACCATATTTTGTAAATCACATTGAAAATGAAATCTTCTTGCATTTAACTAACTTTTTTTCATATCACCTCACATTCTATATTACTAACCACATGCAAAAGAAGAGGCTTGGTGAGGAGTAAGAATGGTTTAAATATGACAGCTGAAATGCATGACTTTTGTGTGCAATTTATGTAAAGCAGTTTTTTTACGTCACACAGATTTCATTTTGGCTTGTCATGCAACATTTCTAATATAAATTAACATGTTTTAGTTTTTCAATCTTATTTTTATTTATTATTATTTTAAAAACAGTTATATATATATATATATATATATATATATATATATAATATAATGTGTATACATATATATACACAAGTTAAAGAATTAAAGAGGACGCATTGATTCAGACAGAGAATTGACGCATCCTCTTTAATTCTTTAACTTATGTATACTTAGCTCTGCTACTACAGCATTGAGCACTTTATGCTAAGATAGACTCTATATATATATATATATATTTTTTTTTTTTTTTTTTTTTGGGTTAATTTTTTTAAACCTTTTTTGTTTGGTCTGTGATGCAACCCATGATCTGATCCCTGATCCTGACCATGATCCAACCTAGTCCAATCCAGCTTTTGTCAAAGCCGGAAACCACAGCACACCATTTTCCCCTCTTTTCTTGAGGACATTAAGCTAAGAGTGCATTGACCACTTCAAAAATAACCATTACTGTAAGAGTATTAACCTACCAACTCTGATCTCAAATTTTCTCAGACGATTTACATCAAGTAAACCGACCACATACACTTCAGTCACAATCTCATCTTGTCCTAGATCCACTCTCCACCATGGAAATGGATTCTTTTCCACAAATGAACATGATCCACCCCAAAAAGTCCATATTGCTATTTCCATCAACCGCTCTATCACTTGTGCCATTTACTAATGTCTTTGTCTGCTGATATGTTGGTTTTCGAAATGCCAGATTTTCTAGGAGAAAATGTACACACACAAAAAAAGAAAAGTTTCCTTAGACAAAGATGATCGCTGTCCACATACTGACCATAGAATGACAGTTGCATGGAGTTGTATTGAATATGTTTGTTACACTGTACATTACATAGAAAAATTAAAACAAAGGGTATTTTTAAAAAACTGGTTGATGGTAGATATTACATTTTGGGCAGCCTACAGATGTACCAGCCTTTGCCAAAAAGCTGGAAAGCAAAGGACACCAAACTGTAATAACTTTGATATAAGAAAAAAATCATGTACAAGTGTATGTGTAAATTTTGAAATAAAAGATATACCTCCATTGTAATTATGGCATTTTACTCCATTCTTAAGCTACAATATACTACTATATAAATTCTACTGGTCATCCTTAACAGCTAAATTAATAGAGAGACATACTTATATTGCTTGATTGATTGTACAATTGAAGATTTAAAATTGCTGACATACTCAGAGATAAATTGTACCATTCTTAGACACTTAATATTAAGGCAACAGACCAAAGGTAAGTTTTAAGACCCAAATATCAAGAAAGGAAAAAGTGTTGTAATATACATATATTCAAATAGAAAAATAAACCTATATTTAAATTACTTATCAAAAGACAATTCTTACAAGCATGACTATAAAATAATTCCCAACAAAACTTTTCTAAGATCTTCATGGTTAAAGGGTTTCTGTGAGATTAAACAATAGTCTCGATTTATCCACTTGACAAGAACATATTCCAAGGGCACTTGTTGAATTATCTACTTTTGATTACATTCAAATGTTTATCAATATAATTATAAAATCAGGTGTACTTTTCAAGGCTTTTGTGCAACTTAAAATTCAATGTGACTTTTGGCTGTAGTAATTATCATAATGGTAAATACAGTTTGTACATTAAACATGCAAACATAAGTATACTCAACCTAAATGAATGCATATATGTTTTGAGATACATAAGAAAGTCTTGGATGAGTCAATTTTTAAAAGAGGAAAAGTGACTTCACTACTACATTAAGTTTAGTAGAAAGAGTAAGTGAAAAGTTACCTCGTGAATAGACTTCCACCTCACACAGCTCAAGACTTTGTTTCTTTGTGGTTAAAACCCCTACATATCTACCAGTTTTCAGTGGATTGGTAAAACAAACAGCTGATGCAGTGAAGTTCTGAAAATCATAGAGTCCTCCACAGGGGGAGTTAAGTGACACATCATCAAAGCTACCTGCAGATTATGAGGCACTGAAAGTCAGAATTACTAGTAGAGTTTGGTTCCATGTGGCAAACATGATCAATTTGTAATAGATTCTTTAGCAAAGTAAACATCCTGGAAATGTTATTTGGCATATTAAAAAGAAATTAAAACTACCAAAACAAGGATTTAATCACATTAATTTTGTACATGCCATAATAGCCTTAACAGAGTGGCCAGGTAAAAAAGTTATTACTGAAGGTAAACTTAGTGTCCCATGTGAAGGTACAGTGTAGACAAATGATGACACTTGAGTATCCTGGTTCTAGTACTCTGGTCCCATTTACATGTACTAACTGAACTCTACAAGAAACCACAAGTAAGATCCTTGCTAGAAAATCTTAAACTGAGGCCCTGTATTGACTGGGCAATGACAAGTAAAAACATCTAGGTTGATTAATAACAAGGTCAAAACAGCTTAGCTGAGGTTTCAAAAATTCCTGTAACATCCAAACTGGCCTGTTGTTTAGCAGTTGATTATAACGTGATGTATGCATGGTTGACCTTACATTTGATCAAAGGATAACAAAACTCACCAAATGTTATTTTGTAGTCTTCAGTAACCACATGCTGTGAGAACCTGTTGACTATATGAACTTCAGAGACATCAACATGGTCTGAACCCAGGTCCACTCTCCACCAACTGGGGTTATTATTCTGAGTATGTGAACAGCTCCCTTTTAAAAAGTTAGTGTCAGGATTTCCATCCACTGCATTTCCAGACACACCATAAACATTGTCAGCAGTAATGTTGAATGTTGAAGACTGAGTTGTAGCCTTCCCTAGGGCAAGGTTCTCTGTGAACAGATATTGAAGAAAATCTTACCACATGGGCCAGGAAAAACTTACTATTGCAACAGAGTGGTTCCACTCAAGATATTATAAAACAAAAGAAAAAGAGTTATGCAGTTTTTTTTCCCAAATTCCTCGCTTTCCTTCCATTCCTTTTTTTGTTATGTGTAGTTGTACTGTACCAACACTTCTCTGAACCAAATAGTGTCATCTAGGAGATATTTGTGCCAATTAGTTTCATGTTATAGTTCAACCCTGCAATAGCTTATGAATTACCCATTTCAGATTAAAGCTATTTCTATCACTTCCTCACTTCTGTTATAAAATGACTACCTTTTGCCTAGTTATTCAGTTGATTTAACAATTGCAACATACTACAATTTGTCAAGCCTCTGTTTGTCTATATTTCACTTAGCACTGACAAAACCTTCCACAAAGATAATCTCAAAGAAACTTAGTTTTGAACAATGGACTTGCTAAGCAAGCAAATCTTTTCTAAAAGTATCAAAGAATACCAGAATATAAAATCTACATATATAAATGGGTTATTGACCAAGTGTGAGGTCAAGATGGCTGTATACCAACCAAGTTCTTTTTTCCATAATTTTGTTGACAGAGACAAAGTCAAGGTCCACAAAAATAGAAAAAGTAACCAAGTCAATAACCAGCCATCTTACCTAAACAAGTTTGGTCAATAAGGGATTTATTATATAGCTAAACATTTTGCTTTCATAAGAATCAAGAATAACTTGTTAATTTCAAGAGCCAGGGAAGGAAGCTAACCGTGTTTGTAGCATAATAAACCCAAAAATGTTGCTTATGTTTTTTCTGTTTTGACTATGTTCTGCCTCTTTTTGCAACTTTATCACATTATGCAAAAGTTACTAACTTTGTAAGTCCACTTTTTCTTACACAGGATCAAAGAGGGCAATCTTGAGCAAGCAAGATGAGCTCAGATAGCCAATCAGAACACAGGATTTGCTTCATATTGCCCACATGCACTGCCAGCAATATGATAAATGTATATATTGAACCTCCTTTGGTTATGTAATATTATCATGCCTGACATATACCTGGCTTTTGTTTCCTCCAAACACTTCTGTTCTCAGACACACCAAACCCTTGTAAGTTTGTGGCAGGAAACGCACATATCTTGTCAGCAGTCCATAAACAACATGCTTCACCACAGAGTTTCTGTCACCATTTCCCATGAAGACCTAAGATTTTAAAAAAGTTATAACATTAAATAATATTACAGATACATGATGAAAATTACTGTAGGCTTCAAGTAAATTGGTGACTTAAGGTTAGAAAAAATGAGATTATGTTAGAACAAAAAATACTGATTTGTAAGCACAATGTCCATGTATTTGTTATTACATGAAATACATGTAAACAAGTTGTATTTTTGTACTCAAATTCTTATTACTCAGAAAAACATTGCACCTTAACTTGTCCAGCTTCCTTGTAGTCTGTCCAAGTTGTCCCATTTATGGATAATTGTAGAGTGTAGGTCTTCACCCACTGATCTGCTTGAGAATTTCCTTGAGTAGAGACAGCACAGATGATATGAAGAGTCTGTAGATCAATCTGTAGATATGGGTTAGTGTCACTCGTTCCTGCACACCATGATGATCCTGATGTGTAATTCAGTCTACCATTCTTGGCTGGTGTGTTGGCATTTTGTACCGAAGAAGCGGTTATGTTATCATCTGAAATTCTCTCATTTTCCAAACCAAGATCCAAATCGATACATACCCCTATTAGAAAGTTAACAGATAAAACAGAAAAATTATAACCAAACTAAGTAAAGCTCAATGAATAGTCGCGGGTATATTTCGTTTTGAGTTTTTGATTGCAAGAAAATTCATTTGCTTCATTGCTCCTGCCTAGATATACATTTCTAACAAGGTTCTGACTCTTTTAATTTGTGCTTTATACGGACATGAAAATTTAGATATCCCCAGAAATTGAGGTCATTTGCTTCACAGACACAAAAACAATAACTACATCGTACGACATTTCTACCATCGATACTATTTCTTCAGGATATGTTCAGCCCGAAAAATAACTAGTTATTTACCTGGATACCTAGGAGTTTTATGATCGTTTTAGTTATAGAACACACGTTACGGTAGTAACTTGGTCTAAAAAGTGAGATTACTGTCCTCCATGTTGACTGTGGCATGCTTAGTAACCATGCCACGACCTTGGGTTTTGGCGGGAAAATAACCCAGCGTGCAAAGTTAGTCACGTGATCATTAAATAGGTAGCCATATGGTTTTGTGAGTAATTTGTAATCGTACTACCAGGATATTTTTCAAAGGCTAACAAAGGTAAACTCCGTAGTGCAGGTGCAGTTTGTAGTCATTTATTCCCAAATTCCATAGGCTAAATCCTGTTTTCATTTGTTCATCGTGAACCGTAAAAGGAGTGTAAATGATCCCAGTTTATAGTAGTGGCATTGCGACCTCACCAAGGGATTCCGGGGCCGTAGGATTGTGTAAAAGCGGATTAATTTTTACCACGGCTAGGTGGGTTACCTTAATTACCTGAGATCACCCAATTTCATGTAAACAGAACCTTAGTGTTACGACTACCATCTGGTCTCAGGAATTGTTCTAGTAACACTCTGTCGTTTAACCGATCGTTAATAAAACTCCATAGAGCAGATTTAACATGATAAATTTAACGATGACATCATCAATTGGACCAACGATTGATGGAGTGTGTCCAATTATTTACTGACACTAGTACACTTTCAGATCATTTGCAATTGAACACATTTCAAAATTTCACTTTACATCGCAAATTCTCCTTATGCCTTCAGAACATCTATAGAGATACTTTTTGTGATCCTCTTTGCAACACGTCACTTAAACCCGAAACCCTTTTTCTTGGTCTGGTCTTAAAGGTTGTTTCAGAGCTATACCTTGACTCGGGATTTTCATGAAAGGTCTCTGCTAATCTCAGTTTTTCGGCGTTGAAGAAAATTCTATGAGTTAAGACGAATGAAATGTCTATTAACACATTATGATTGGTTATTTAGTAGTTGTTTCGTGCCGAGTTTCATGAATATACACCGAATACTTAAGAGGCGATCTCTGTGAGAGCGGTCCAAAGTATTTCGCATCGGAAAAAAGTTTTCCCTCAAACTTTGCCCGATAAACTATCTTTGGTAGCAAGTAAATAAAACCACATTAGTTTCTGGAAATACCGCGGTTAAAATAAAATTTTTAGAGCTCTCAAAAGTCAAAGCTGCTAAAGGCCCTTTTTTTTGACCTCTTGCGACACATCGAAAATTTCAAAAGTTGAATACCCTGGTCCTCGTATCACACCGCATGCAGCAAAAAATCTCTTGTATTTTTAAACTGTGTGATATGTTAGGTGAATAAAAAGTATTTCAATTTTGATATTTGTTTATTCAGGGGTTCGTCATAATTTATTTAAAAACACTCGTTAGACAGCTTTCTGAACTTGGTCAAAAGTACTCTTTCCTTCTTGGTTGATATTGCTCAAGTCCAGACCAGACCATTGAAAACTCCGCTTAATTTCTTCTAATAAGATGTTTGGCTGCAGAAAAATATAAAAACATCTTGCACTTATTCATTTTGTTCGCCGCAATGACTTCAAACTTTCAGCGATTTTGCTAGGGTGACAGCCGATTATGCAAATTAGTTCATAGAACAAACTCCGACCGTTTTGTATAAGTAGCTCAATAAATCTTAGATTTTAACCATTTTAAGTTGAAAAGATAGTAGGACAGAGCTTTTAGACTACACTGATTGATACTCTAAACATTTCAAAAGGCCAGAATTTGACAAATTTTACCCTCTCGTGACGAAAGACGTCAACAACAATCATCGAATATCATAATTTGATTAGCGCTCGCTTAACATTTTAATGGCAAACTCTTTCTTAAAAATTTGGCTTCTGCTACTTCATGCATATTTGAGTTCTGACAGGTTACGCTATTCAAAACCTGTATGAACATTTCAGAACCAAACTACAGGATTCTATTTAGTGTAACCGGCGATAACAGCACACATTGAAATACACCTTGACCAGTGACTCTGTCACGTAATTCTATCGTATAATTGTCCTGAATACCTCTCAAATCCAAGTAAAGCAGCGATTGCTCGAATTTCTAGCTGACAGGAACAAATGATATTTGGTCGCCACACCTGTCTGCATAGCAGTCGCTGTTCATAACTTTGGAGAGTTCTTGTGAAAAAGGATATCGCATTCGCATAACGGGTGGACGTCATAATTAGACTGCATTACAACTCCATTCCGAAATCATTTCCTCCATTTTTGCCTCCAAGATAGTTTATTGGGCAAAGTTTAAGGACTGTGTAATTTGATGACTGTGTAATTAGGGAACCGTCATATTTTAATCGATAACGAAGCGAGCTAGTTCTGTTTCGAAAAAAGTTCAGATCTCTCTCAAGCTACCGCTTCATAAACATCGTGAAGCCAAGTAGAGAAGATCATGCTCTTACGTAACTAAGAAAAGACGAGCGACGAGGTTAGTCGGTGAGACGCTCTTACCCCTTACCAGGAAGTAAATCATACTCTGCCAGATAGATTTGAAAATCGCAACTACAATTCTCCCAAACTCATTCTCTCAAAATAAAATAACTTGTCAGATGTTTCAGCTTTAAAGAAGATGTTTGAATTCACATGGGATTTTTTCGGTCGGACTCGACAGTTTGTCAATTGACGGCAATGAAATGGAATTTAATTATGTCATATCTATGGAGTCCCTGCCGAAAAACAATCTGTGATTTCGTTGAGGTATTAACTCATATGCCCAGATTACAAATGATAGAGAACTCACCGGATCCCAGAGGAATAAGAAAAGCGAAGAAAGCCACTCGAAAGTACAGCCCGGAATCAAACTCCGACATTTCGCCGCTATTGTTACTTCATAACTCACTCAGAAACTGAAACGTTGCAGACACCTGATGTTTCAGTTCAATAACCTTTTGCATCTTAAAAGCTCATTCTCTCCGTTGAAGCGTATCTGCCAAAATACAACTAAACCCATTATGGTATGTATTCCCGGAGTTTCAGCAGTGTGAAAAGACGACGCGTCGACGGTACGGGTTCACTGTGGGAAAACTCTTTACGGTGGCCAATTTACATTACCAACTCAGTTGATAAAACCAAATTATCAGGTTATACCCCTACCAACCTAGCACCACAATTTCTTTTGAAGCTTACCTCCTTTACCTTTGTCGATCCTGAGAGTTAATCGGTCTGAATATCACTTTCACTGACCATCTTTGTTCCTCTTTTCTTTTTTTTTCTTTCCAGCACATCTCTTGTGAAACAATCGCTTCCAATTTAATTATCCATCTCAATTTTGAAAAAACTTACTCCTTTACAAAAACAACCCTACAATCTCTGTATTCCTAAGATTTACAAAAAAACACAGATTAACGGACCACTGAGAAGATACGAAACCGTAAGGTTTAACTGATATCGTCAGTGTTCCATACCATGTTACGTTAGACCCGAAAACTGTTTGAAAATGTTCGAAAGTAGTTGTTTGACAACACAGGAAGTTAACCTACAGAAGAGGCGGTTTTTGGCTCATCAAGGCAAGTGGAGACGCGAGCCCCTCTTTATTTCACTTGTTTGGAAAACGAAAAAATTACCCCTGTTCTGCAGGAATTTATAGCTTGATCTGCCTCAGGGAAGAAGGCACAGACACTTGCGGGGGGGGGGGCGATCCAATCGATCCCTTTACTTCATCTTGCTTGGGGTGATACAAAAAGGGGGGCACTGGTCGATCGGTTTAAAAAGAAATGATCAGAGTCAAGGTTTAGGTGTTTTTATTAAGCCACCTTAACCAAGTTAAAACAAATAATAGGAGCACATACTTGATAGATTTAATTTTGGTAAGAAAAAGGCAAAGCAGGTGATTGATCAGCCGAGTCCACGACGTCACGCTTCAGGCATAAGACTGATATTGTATCGATATATTTTTTCGACTGTTGTGAAGGTACTTGTCACAAGACCTTTAGTAATATTTGAAGTCCATGATGCGGTTGTAAATCTAAAACTATCGAATATTTTCAATTGAACGACTCAAAGATTTGGTCGTAGAATTTCTATCAAGAGGAAAAAAGGCGATTTAATGTTACTGGTATTTCTATTTTTGCTTATATTTTCCAGAGGCAAAATAAATCTTTCACTCGAAACATAAATAAAAAAAAATCCACACATTTTCCTTCGAGGCATCGTTTGGTTCGAAAAGATACCGACATGAACTGTGGAAAGACAAAATAATCATTTTCAACGGTGCATTGCTTTATTCAACTCCTACCACAGTATTGAAATTGGTTGTTCTATTTAAAGAGCACGTTCTCCTGGCTGAGCATCTCTTCGACTTCCCATACATTTTACCCAATTTTTAGGCCACAATTCAGGGTAAATCGTTTCCTCTTAAGAGCAACATGGCTAAAAGTGACTCAGAGTTATTTCAAAATTTTCCTTTCTACATTCTACTGCATGTAATTTCATTCATAATGAGCGATTACCAGTACATCAGGTAATTCAGTTGTCATGCGTTACTCCTACAGTTTGTATAAAGGTTTGTGTGTTTCCGTGCCCCGTTAATATGTGGGCGAATATCATCAGGTACACAACAAAGGCTAAGTATAGTAATGCAGTGTAGAAGCGTTCAATTCTGCATTTACAAGATAAAATTTTTCCTAACTCTTGCTATGTTTCATTACACGGTCGGTTTTTCACGAAATTTCTCTATAGAGTTAGTCTCTTACGAAAATTCATCATGTGGTTAGCTTTTACGAACGTTCTGATGTTCGTTAAACCAAATCTTCAACAACAAACTGTCTATAGGGCTTACAGACCCACATCTTACCGGGCGGCTTCAATTTAGATCAATCAAGCGTCAAGAGGAGGTACATCCTTCTCCTTTCTAAATAAAGCAGCGATAACATCATTTTTTGGATCAGCATTCTAGTCGGCTGGAATAAGAGAAAGTTTGTCTGCACACCTGTCTTTAAGACAGTTCTATTCAGAACTTTAGCATAGATCCAATTCAAGTCTTAAATGCATATATCGACGGCCTCGCCGATGTTGCACAAAAGCCCAGGATTACACGTTTGGAATCCCAAGTAGACTTGTAGGGAAAAATGCTCCTTTCCCGAAAAATCTGAGTTTGTACAAAAAGCTGGGGAAGCGTGCCAGCTGGTGTGCGATGTCATTGCTCTAAGAGATGGAAAAGCGTTATTCCAAGCGGTCGTAGACCATGAAGAGAAGTGCAAGACAGCTATTGATGTTGGCCTTCAAATCCTTAAGGCCGCCTATCAGAATGCTCCCACAAAATCACTTAGGACTCAAATACTGAGTATTTATGCCGATAGATTTTCAGCTAACGAGCTTAAACGCATGCATCAGCCATTTGAAAACCTCTCAGATAGACAAATAAAGAAGGCAAGAGCACAGGCGAAGAGTAAGGTGCCTGTTGAAAAAATCCTGCGTCACAGAATCCGACCTTGAGCTCCATATGAACTTGGTGGTTCATCATGTAAGTCCTGTGTCTGCGAGCATGACTGAAAGTCTTTATGGCAAAGTGAAGAGGGAGTGGGTTCATCACTTTCAGTCATTGTCATTAGAGGGTTCGACTGAACTGGTTGCAGCGGCCACAGAACCCTTGACAAGTGCTTCACAGCTTCCCATGGGATGAGCTCTTCATAAGAGAGGTGCAAGTGTACGGCTTTCGCAAAACGTCAGGCAGTACTCGTGTTTGAGGGAGGCCAGGAGCACAGTAATGGATGAGATAGGACTGAAAAATCCAATCATGTTTGCTGTCTATGATGTGTGCTCGTTTGCAAGAGGGTAAAGGTTGCCCAGCCTCAAAGTCAAGGTACTAAGAGACATGTGCAAACATTTTGAGCTCGCATTCAAAATGCGAGATGCAAAGACAACACTTCTTGCAAAAATGGAGGAAATTATTTCGGAGTGGAGTTGTAATGCAGTCTAATTATGACGTCCACCCGTTATGCGAATGCGATATCCTTTTTCACAAGAACTCTCCAAAGTTATGAACAGCGACTGCTATGCAGACAGGTGTGGCGACCAAATATCATTTGTTCCTGTCAGCTAGAAATTCGAGCAATCGCTGCTTTACTTGGACTTGAGAGGTATTCAGGACAATTATACGATGGAATTACGTGACAGAGTCACTGGTCAAGGTGTATTTCAATTTGTGCTGTTATCGCCGGTTACACTGAATAGAATCCTGTAGTTTGGTTCTGAAATGTTCATACAGGTTTGAATAGCGTAACCTGTCAGAACTCAAATATGCGTGAAGTAGCAGAAGCCAAATTTTTAAGAAAGAGTTTGCCATTAAAATGTTAAGCGAGCGCTAATCAAATTATGATATTCGATGCATTGTTGTTGACGTCTTTCGTCACGAGAGGGTAAAATTTGTCAAATTCTGGCCTTTTGAAATGTTTAGAGTATCAATCGGTGTAGTCTAAAAGCTCTGTCCTACTATCTTTTCAACTTAAAATGGTTAAAATCTAAGATTTATTGAGCTACTTATATAAAACGGTCGGAGTTTGTTCAATGGACTAATTTTCATAATCGGCTGTCACGCTAGCAAAATCGCTGAAAGTTTGAAGTCATTGCGGCGAACAAAATTAATAAGTGCAAGATGTTTTTATATTTTTCTGCAGCCAAACATCTTATTAGAAGAAATCAAGCGGAGTTTTCAATGGTCTGGTCTGGACTTGAGCAATATCAACCAAGAAGGAAAGAGTACTTTTGACCAATTTCAGAAAGCTGTCTACGAGTGTTGTTCCATTTAAAGAGCACTTTCTCCTGACTGAGCATCTCTTCGACTTCCCACACATTTTACCCAATTCTTAGGCTACAATTCGGGGTAAATCGTCTCCTCTTAGGACCAACATGGCTAAAAGTGACTCAGAATCATTTCAAGATTTTCCTTTCTACATTCTGCTGCATGTAATTTCATTCACAATGAGCGATTACCGGTACATAAGGTAATTCAGTTGTCATGCGTTACTCATACAATTTGTATAAAAGTTTGTATGTTTCCCTGCCCCGTTAATATGTGGGCGAATGTCATCAGGTACACAACAAAGGCTAACTATAATAATGCAGTGCGACGTACAAAGGAACATCATGGTATTTTTACGTATAAATTGATTAACAACCATTTCTGTCCCTCTATCCCTGTCACATTCAATGGTGATTTTCATAGTTACTACACAAGATCGAGAAATGACATTCGCAAATCTAGTGCCGCAAGAAGATGGGGTCATTGGTCGTCAGTAAATTTTAGCACCGATATATGGAACGGCTTAGGCACTTCATTAAGGAATGCAGAGTCACTGCCTGCTTTTAAACGTGGCCTGTCCAAAGTTGTCTTTGATTCTTAACGACATTCTTTGCTTTTTACCCTTTGTATATTCTTTTTATCTTTTACATTCCTGTATTTTTAACTGGTTATATTTGATGCTTGATAATTGTATATACTCTTTTAAACTTTTACATTTTTGTATGTTTAACTGGTTCTTAATCTAAACTTAGTATTCTTCTGAGAACCCTTTTATAAACCACTTCGTGACGTTGGCATCCTCATTAAAGATTACTACTACTACTTTGTAAGATAAAAATTTTCCTAATTCTTGCTTAGTTTAATTACACGGTCTATTTTTCCACGAAATTTCTTTATAGAGTTAGTCTCTTACGGAAATTCATCATGTGGTTGGGCTTTTACGAACGTTCTGATGTTCGTTAAACCAAGTGTTCAATAACAAACTGTCTGTAGGGCTTACAGACCCACATCTTACCGGGCGGCTTCAATTTAGATCAATCAAGCGTCAAGAGGAGACTAAAGCATTCAACTGTGCGAATTCTCGTAGATTCCGCCGTCTTTCTTCCCTGACCTTTCTTTCTTGAATCCCACATTGTAATAATTGGAAGTCACTTGAGTGTCCTGCAATGACTGGTACTCAGGAGATTCACGTGACTTCCCTTCCGAAGGCCTGGGGTGGAGTTCCATATAAACACCAGGCTCTGACGCTTGATGACCACCAGATGGGGCGGAGATACCACTGTTTACTGTGGTTGCTTTTTTATTAAGCTCAGTTCGTCTCAACCGCCATATTAGCGCACCAATCACAATGAGCAAGAAGAAAACAATGCAACAAAGAGCGATGACAGCAGCCCGAAAGACTTGGGATTCACCTGTTAGAAAATAGGAGGGATTTACATCAGATATGAAAATCTGTGTCTCCATGAAAATTGGAGAAAATAATGAAGGAATCAAGTGATAGCTTTGAGAGGATTCAAATGATTATTACGAGATTATTCCAACATGCTGTTTAATTATGGATTTATTGGCGCTGTTTAATCAAAAATTTAATACCAGCTTCTTGTGTCCCCACAATACTCACTGGCATCTCCCTTTATGGTTTCTTTAGTATATTTAAGTGACTCTGCAGATTGAAAGAAAATAATAGTTAAACATTAAAATTCATAGAAGAGCAAGCGAGAACAAAAAACCTGACCTTAATCTAGATTGTGGCCTTTCTCATCATAGAGCTGAAAGCATCAAGGCACTTTTGTTAATTACATCAATGGAAGTTGCACAAATTTTACATTTAAGTGAAAATAAATAACAAAAAATCTACTAAAAAGGATGTTATTCTATGATAATTATGATAAGAATTGAAAGGTGACCAAATGTAAATGCAGACCGGAATAAGAATTATTTAGTAAACACAGAAACAACGGTGGTAGGTTAGTTTGCTTTTCGTAATCTGCAGTGGCCGAGGTTTTACACCTAACTTATTCAGTTGAAGGGGAGAAATAAGGCCAGGCACAAACTTTTGAAACAGTGGCAGACTTCAACAAGGATCTGCCATTACTTGAGTTTAACTTTTTTCCAATTTGCCCGCGCAACTGTAGCAATTGACTCTTGCCAAAAGGGAAGTTTCTCTCCAAGTCACAAAGCTCTCATGAAAGTTAACAGCCCACTAAACTGAAAAGATAGAGAAATTACTTTCAAGTCTCACGTGAGTGTTAACTCGCATACCTGGTGTGACAGATATCGAGGCCACTTTACTGGTATATCCTTCCAAAATTTGCTAAAAAGTGAACCAAACATGGTCAAAAAGTGACAAACACATCTTAAAATTCATTGATATAAGGAAGTGAGATTTATCCCTAACAGCAAGTGTGACTGCACGTAAAAAAATGGTTTGGTCCAAAATAATTTTCTTCATCAAGTGGATATTATGTTTAGATTATCAACTCTAAATTACAGAACAATTAAACAACACCCAAATTTACTTACACCATTGAAACGAGTTATTGCTCTTTGATAGGCAAAATAGTTTCCTCCTTTCCTCAGTTCTTTGTTGATAAAAGTTCCATACGATTTCCCGTCACCAATAGTAAATTTCCAAGATTTCTCATGCACAGGATCATTTTCGATTTCCGCAGCGATGTAAAACGGATGAAAGTTCAAATTTTCGTCGTTTGAATCTTTCAGCTTCAAATGAAAATCCTTGGGAAGCTCTTGAACACAATCAGAGACTTTAAGAATGATTATTTGATAAGCACTGAAATGTTGAAAACGAACAAAATTCTGGTCAACATCATTGCGGTCATCGCCGTATTGAAAGGTGGTGGTTGTTTGATGGTCTTAACTGACTTGAGTTAAGCACTTAGGAACTTTTGCGAAAGACTTTGCAACAAAGTCATGTGTTTGTGTTCAATATAATAGCCAGTTGTGCGATCTGATCGTCTTGGGAAGAATAGTCCTAAACAGAACTGTTGTTGATTGCAGAACTGGCGTTTTGTTAACGTTACAGTCAACAAGGAGATTTTTACCCAGTCTTGTATTGCAACTTAAGTTCGAAAGACCTAATTAAGGTATTGTATCTTTCTCATATCATGGGCTATGTACACAAGATTAACATCATTATGTGCACAGTGAAAGCAAGAATTGTATCCTCCTCAGGTGAGTGTATCATTAATAGTTTATGCTTTTAGCTTATCTGTGACACAAACTATAAAACCATCACCTTATTGGACCATTCCTTTGTTCAGCAGGCCACAGATCAATTTCAGCCTGCAACTCAGCGACCTTCCTGGTGGTCAGTGATAGTACAACTGGAGCCAATGGCTCTGGGAATAAAATAAATATAATAATATGATTCGCAAAATATTTACATCAATTTCAAGATGCATATTCTCCATACTGATCCCATACATTCCTAATCAGAAGTAGGTGATCATTTCCTTTATTCCTGTGACCACATTGTGTGATTCAGGGGTGATATTGTGAAGAGAAATTAGATGTTAGTCACTCTTGGGGGTCAAACAGTTACCTGCATGTTATTGCTTACCTCCTATTTTTGTTTCTACTTCCAAAGATGAAGGGAATCCGTTGTTTCCACATTTTGAGATTCCATAAACCCGAAGGTCATATTTGGTACCTGGTACCAAATTATCAAGGGTATATTTTGTTGTTCCCTGTACATCTTTGCTGCCTTCGTGTGAAAAGCTGTTGTTGTAAGACTTTTTCCCTGAGTACTCAACCTTAACAATCAAACAATTGAGTCAAAGGCAGGTACAGTAAATACCACACCTGTACTAATTTATTTACAAATAAAATCTCCCACGTGGACGTGCATTTTCGTGATCACAGCACAAAACAAAAAACCCTAATTTTATGTATATACATATAGCTGTGCATGTACATATAACTCCTCTCACTTATTACAGTAACTATTACAGTAGCTGCTCTTAAATGGTAGTCATACTGATGATATCAGTTCTCTAGTACACTTATGCATTATATTCATTACAACAAATGTCATTTCCGTCAGTGCTCTTTTAACCCTTTAACTCCCATGAATGATCAAGAAAGAATTTCTCCTAACAATTTCAATACAATGTCAAGCATAGGAGTGATGAGAATAAAGTAAAATATTGATTAGTGGATTATTAGTTAATCCAATACCAATTTCTCCAAAGTAACATCATAAGAATTGTATAGCAACAAAGAGTTGTATTAAAATTTGTCAAAATCCATGTTTTTACAGCAAAGTAGATTTAAACATTAAGAATATCACCTTCCACTCTTCTTCCATGGCAGGTTGGGGTCTCACCCATTCCAGTGTCATCTCTGTTGACTGAGAGTCTGTTGCCCTCAGGTTGTTGGGTGCCCCTGGTACTTTGTCATATTAGTAAGTAAAACAATGTAAGTATGATAGCTTTTTTAGATTCCAGAGTAAGTTCCTTCTTTTGTGTATTCAGTAAATGCGCTTTTATTAATTTCCTACTTTTTCTGTAGTTTTTTTATTTGTACAAATAGTCCATGTTGTAATAAGAATAAATTAAATAATGTGATTATGAGTTAAAATGTACAGCTATTTGCGCTGAAAAATTTATGGGAAACATTGCAACTTGTTTCCCTAGGTACACTTGGGGGCGCATTTTGAATATCACCCCTATTCAATTAATCAATTTCCTGGTTATTAGCCAAATTAAGCTACAACCAAAGACAGCCAAAATGCCTTGCTTTTCTTACTCTTACTAGTGATTTTGAATCAGACTACACATTAAGCTTCTATGCAGTATAAATTAATGAGTTTGAAGCAAAATTTTGCATGCTCTATATTCAATTTGAAAAAAATGAAACTTACTCAATTCCAGAGGTAAGGGTTGACCATATGGTCCAGGGCCAGCTTTAGTGTATGCTCGGACATACACATTGTAACAAGGCTGAATATCATACAGGATAACAAATGCTTTTTGTTGTGTTAACAGTTTTGCTGTTGGCTGGAGATCTCTTTTGTCGACTTCCAGACAACACCAATGATATCTTGACCTCATATGAGATAACTTTGCTATAACTCTCTTTTCTTGTCAGGGGTGACCATGAAATATTGAAGGTTGTTTGGTTCAGTCTACTGAAAGACACATCATTTGGTGCTACACTGGGTTCTGACAAAAGGGAATAAAAAAATATACCAATTCAGATAAATGGTCAGCTGTCTGTCATTGAACGAAAAAAATTTAATAAATAATTATTTCTGAATCACATTTGATCAAAAATTTATCCTCAAAGTATATCTAAATTGTATTTCAGTAATTCTTCTCTCCTTCCCCCTTCATCAAATTTTTATTTTTTTTTAGGTATGTAGTCATTGATGTTGACTAATCATGTTCACCAGTCCTTCAAAACTCCATTGGAAAGCACTTGGAGTTGATAAGGAGAGTCCTTCCTGTACCACTCCTATAATGCAGCTGTTCTCAACTTGTCTACCTTGATATCATTTACTGTCTACACTTATCAAATAGCATTAATGTATTAAAATTCAAACTTTGTGCCAAGGGTTAGGGGAATAAAACAAAGGAAATCACATGGAGGTTAAGGGACAAATAATTAGTTTCTTTTGTTTTATTCCCCCTAGCCTTGCAGCCATGTTAGAATTTTAGTATATCAAAACTAGCCTATTGATCATAATGTTTTATGATTTACACCTACCATAATCATTAACAGCAACAGACAAGGTTGCATTTGGTCCAGGTTTGATCGTAGCAGCTCTGACATGGAACTGATAGATGGCCCCACCTAACACATCTACTGTGTAACTGAACACGTTTTGTTTTAATGTTTTATTGTGAATATTATGAGGATCTTCATTGTGACTATAAAACACAGTGTAACTCCTAATAATCCCATTTTCTTCTGCAGGCTTATACCAAGTGAGCTTTATCTTGGGACCAACTTGTTTATCTGGCATTATCTCAGCCTGCGAAAGGTTTGAAGGAATGGTTGGTGCTAGAGTAGCAAAGAAATGGAAGATGAAGGTCATTATTTAAGCTAGACTGAAATAAAATTGATCTTTGGCAGAAAAAATGAAGAAATTAGATAATCCACTTTAACTTGTTCACTGAAAGTGCTGAAGGAAGTTAACTCATTATACTACTATTACTAATGCTAACAATAATAATAATAATAATAATAATATAATAAAAATGATAATAATAACTTAACTCTCATATTATATCCTGCATCATATCATTACTCTAAACCTGCCAAGATATACTATTATGTTCCAATCTTATTCAAATAAGCTATAATTATGTTTTTGAGTAAAATATTTCTTATAACCTACACTGTTCAATTTTAGTCTCTTACCATCTTCCAAAGTCTGCTCAACCTTTACAGAACTTTTTGGTCCCTCACCACGAGATCCAACAGCCAACATTTGAAATTCATATTTGGTGTACTTGTTCAGATTAGTGAAATCTTTAGTTAATGTTTCTGCTCCAGTAACAGACTCCATGACTAAATTGTCCACTGAGCCCTTCTGTCTGTAAAACAACTTATAACCTGTTATATCTCCATGTCTGGCATATTCTGGCAGTGATGCCCATGATACTTTTATACTAGTAGATAAGATTGCAGTCACAGTGAAGTTGCCTGGAGCTTGTGATGGAACTGGAATGTTGAATAAAAATGATTATAAGGTATTTTAATTATATTTTCACAATGGTCATGTGCCTATAAAGGAGCTGAATCAGTCAACACAGATGAAAGTTGTTAATGTTGATGAAGCATTATTTTCGTACTATCACAGTGCTTGTGTCCTCCCTAAAACTTTTCGAGTGAGAATTTCAAGCTCTTTCAAGTCTGACATCAATTGAACCTAAGTGACTTCATTCATCCTCAATGGATTAAGTGAGTGCCATTTAGGGAGTGACTAAGTGGTAATCTGATTTCTGTAGGGGATAATTTACAAATGTGATTATATACACTGAACATATACATATATCACTCAAATATATACCAGTTATGTAATGTATACCATGAAAATATATGAACTATATCACGAAATAATTTATCCCATAAGTCACTCATAGTCTGTCATTAGCTGAACATAAATGTTGAGGGAAGAATTTGGTTCTGACATGGCTCAAACAGCACTTAAAATACACTAGAAGCGGCATTGCATGCTCGATTTTGGCAGGAATAAGATCACAGTACACAATAAGAGGAGTGGGCACAATACTATCAAATATACAATGAATTCCTTCTGATTGGCTATATTTTCTGCGGCATGGTATCAGTATTGGTAATGCTGAGTAGTATATCATTGAATATCCCACAAGTCACTTGTATTTAATGTCATTACCTGAACGTGAGTGGGTGCAATACCATCAAATATACAATGAATTCCTGAATTCTGATTGGCTATATTTTCTACAGCATGGTATCAGTATACAGACTATGAGATTTTATGTAGCATTTTAAGTAAAGTGACTCATGATATTCCCTTCCACTTTTTTGCAACACTTGTAGGATTTCAATGATATGGTACAGAGAAAATGGAATTGGTACCTGCAGATAGGAGAACTCCATAAACTTCCACTCTCAATGTCTTATGACCATGATAATCTGTTGGCACAAAACGGATGAACCTTGCCAAAGCATATTCCCTCAGACCATGTTTTACTATGTCATATCTCCCAGAGTTTCCATTAAAGACCTAAAATATTAAGATATCAATGAAAGTGAACAGTTATAGACACTAACATGTTTATTCACTTCAAAAGAAAATTTCAACTTTCCGTGCACAAGTGACAGCAGTTTTCCTTGGCTTTGAATTATCAATAAGCCTACAACCAACCAATAAAAATGTAGCAAACACCATCACCATAAAAAGTGATGAAAGAGGATAATCTACAGCTCTAATTCTAACAAAAATAGTTTCAAATCATTTGATCAAGCAAAATGAGTCACTTCAAATCAGAGCTGCAAGCCACACCAACATTCCATATTAGTGGGTTATCATACACTGGACTACATTATGCCTTAAGAAATAGGCATTTCAAAGCCTGAAAGACATGACCTATGAAGCTCATGTCAGATTTTTCACTCATTTCCACCTATACTTGACCTGGTCATAAAACTGATTCAAATTTACACATACCAAAATGCTCTCCCATAACTGTCTATAATTCTTCTTCCTATAAAATTAGGCTTGACAGAGTGTATTTTTGCAGGGGGTAAGTTTCTAAAGAAACTGTGGTACTGCGTCCGTGGGAGAGTATAGCAGGTAATTTAGTGTTAACAACTAAGTTGAAAACATAAAATTGCCTTTTAACCCTCTATGGTGGCCAATTTATGTTTTAAACCCAGTTACTAACACTAAATTACCTGTTAAGTATATTTTTATGAAACTACATGAACAAAATATCAAAAAATGAGAAAAAATTCAATCAAGTTTAGCATGATGCTTCATTAATATCAAACTGACCTTCTCAGTGTTGTTTTCTTTATATGTGTTAAAGGTGACACCCAATGATAATTTAATCTTGTACTTTGTTGTCCACTGATCATTATTGACAGATCCTTGAGTGGCTACAGCACAGATAACATAATCATACTGCAGGTCAATTTGTAGGTAGTCAGTGTGATTAGTATTGGTTTTTGGTGCCCAACCCCGGTTATGTCCATTCAGACGACCAGCTGAAGGTCCACGGTCATTATTAGCTTTTGATGAGGCTGAGAAGCTGCCATCTGGAATTGCATCACTGCTGGTCACACCAATTGCCTGACTATGACATGCTGTTAAAAGACAATCATAATTACCATAAACTATGGCTTCAACCCAGAGAATCAGTACTGGTATATCATACATGTACAGTAACAATCACAAGAGTGCTGCACCATGTAAACACACCTCAAGTGATTTTACTAGTGATTTGAGGTAGTTTGTGTAAAGAACTGTAAGTTCTTCTTGAGTGAAAACTCAAGGCTTGAAAAATTAAAAAAATTAATTAACTTTGTCACCTTTTGGCCTCTAACTGAAGAAAAAAAGCCACCAGGAATTTCTAGCTGCCAGAATAACACACTATACTACAGGATTTTTACAAATTGCCAATTCATGAACATAGATCACACTTAACTACTGAAATATTTATATCATGTGGTCTATTTACACCATCAGCTAACTACACAATCGCTCCATGATTCTTTACTATTGATTTACAGGTTAACAATAGAAGTTTCATGAAGGGCCATATTTTTAATCTGTAACATTTTTGTTTAAATAGGTCACAACATACATTTATACACGTACATGTATGCATATCAACTTTTATACCAAACTATCATACCTATCTGCTACACACAACTTTACATTCACTTAACAATACTGAAGTACCTACATGTTTACATACAGAAATTAAATGGCAAATTTTCCTGAGAATGCTGATTGGAACCCCAGCAGAATAAAGTAGCAGCTAATAGCTAGTAGTAAATAATGAAAATATCCAGATATGCCATACCTCTTTGTTCTGAATACACTTCAAGTTCACAAACAACGAATCCTGCAGGATAAGGAAATCCCCTAACATCCCTGATGGTCACATATCTTCCTTTCAAACTAGGACGGCAGAAAAATGACAAACCTACTCCTTGAGGAAGGTAATGAGTAGCTGCCTGACCACATTTGGAACTAGGCATACTGATATCAGTAATATTTGATACTGTGCCTGAAAGAATACCATAATAATAATTAAATCACTGTTAAAAAGTACAAACAACTTCAAAGAGATGACTGCAAAATAATCCATATACTGATCAAATAGTGATATTAATTTTCAAAACAGGCAAGATTTACCTCACTGGTGACCCTCTGCCTTAATAAAAGCTGCTCTTTTCTAGTGTGTAAGCTAGACTGACTCAAAAAAGTTATGCATAGCAAGGGCATGATGCTGAGTACCATACAAGCCAATTACCAGAAAGAGATACTGCTATTTAATTAGTATCATTATTTGTAATAAGCTAATCACTACCATTACTGATGACTGTCTGACAGCTATTTTACACATCATA